TTTGATTTGTGCTACTCTTTTTCAATCATTTTCTCTAAATGTGGCTAAATACTTCTAAAAATAAATTCAAATCATAAAAGAGTCATAAATCCTTTTCTATTAAAGATAAAAATTTAAAAAAATTACTTCTTGATAGAAGTATACCTATGAATCAGACTTGAATGAATCCATCGAGATATTGGAAGGAATGCAAGTCTAAATAAAGCTTGACTTATAAAAAAAAATATTCAAAATTTTGAACTTATTCCATCAAACTTCAAAATATAATAATCTTCAAAATAGAAGTGGAATAATCTACTTACTTATAAAATAAGACAAAAATAATAAGTTAGCACACTTATCAAATTATCAAAGACATAAATCTTAAAGAAAGAAATCTTCAATAAATTCTTATGTCTTTGAAAAGAACTAGAAGTCACTCAAAGATGGTATAACATTGAAGTAGAATAGCTATTGTTAAAAACAACAAGACTAGAAAGTCTTGAAACAAGACTAAAGACTAAAAAGGTATTAACAAGAATGAAGAAGGCTTCTTTCTTACTTCCATATATATTCTTAAGTAGAAGCTATATGGCGATGTTCTTTAGGACCTCCAAAATATATTGACTTTATAAGATACATATCTTAACTTACAAAGTAAGTTTTTTATATGTGTGCCATATAAGTAGCTTGTTCTACAAGCTACTAATACGTGGTTAATTTGTTGACCAAGTTTCTAATCTATTAATCAACTATAAATACATGTTAAGTCAAATCAACATGTATGAACCTTTTAGGAAGCTTTTCTAGAAGGTATTATGAAATTAATCTACTTTTATCTATTCTTACCTACTTCTATCTAATCATATAAAGTATGTATATGTATCTGTGAAAAAAAATATCTTTTATAAAAATAAATTCTATTTATTTTATATGGCAATAATTAAAATAAAACAAGGTAAATTAAAAAAAATAAATAATATAAGCATATATAGAAGAAAATTAGAAGTTGATTTTAGCAAAAATTACCTCAATAAATCAAGAATTGACATCCAAAGTGGAATAGTTTTCAATCAAGGTTGAAATTAGACCTTATGATACAAAACCGAGCATATGTATTATTTGCAAGGATTTTTTTGTAAATAAAAAAGTAGAATTTGAAGAAAAAATAGATTAATCTCTTTTAAGTATAGATTTTGAGGAATTTGTATTTATAATGGCTTTATAAAAATTTTGCAAAATTAGGATTATTTTGGGTGATTTTAGGTTTTTTGAAATAAAATAGAATTGATATTTAAGATAATTTTATGAGTTTTATTACAAATTTATAAGTAAAAATTTGTAAGTTTGTGAGTATAGTTGTATTTAATGTATATTATTAATTTAAACTTAATCAAATAGTTAGGTTAAAGATTATTGAAATTCAAGTCAGTTGAGGTCTCAAAAATTAGAATTTGGGAGTCAATGAGAGTTTTTAAGATGATCAAATTGAAGTGAAAATTATTTTTTGAATAGTAGATTTAATTTCCTATATTCATATAAATTTCAAAATTAATTCAATAGTTTAAAAAAAAAAATATTAGCATTGGGAGCTCAACATCAAGGTTGTAAAAGAAGGCCCCTTAATACTTAAATGGATTATCTTATATTTCTTTCAATTAATATGTGATTGATTTCAATCTTCTTATACTTTTTTCTAACTAAGTTATTAAAAAATGAACAAATTTTGAGTTGATATCAATAGTTTGATCATTAATTATTGAAGTTTCAATCTAATATTGGATTTGTTATGAGTTTGTTTAAGATTTAAGATTTGATTAGAATTTTATCTAAAATTAAGATTTAGGATTTGATTAGGATTTGATCTAAAATTTGATTAGGCTTTGATTAAGATTTGGCTTAGAATTTGAATAGGATTTAAGGTTTAATGAGGATTTGGTGTAAGATTTTATTAAGATTTAAGATTTGATTATAGTTTGGTGTAAGAGTTAACTAAGATTTAGGATTTATTTAGGGCTTGATTAAGATTAATGTAGAATTTTATTAGGATTTAGATGGAGATTTGGTTAGAATTGGTTTAGGATTTTTTTAAGATTTTGATAAAGGTTATATTAATATTTAATTAGGATTTAATTGAATTTATATTTTTGATAATTTTTTAAGATTTTTTTATTATATATACATTTTTAAGATTAATTTATGATTTCTTTATGTTTCTTTTATAATTTCTTGAAACTTCTTTTGGAATTTAATTAAAGATTTATTAGTATTATTTTATTTTAATTAATTTTTTAAAGGATTCTACTAGAATTATTAAAATCATCTTATTGTAAGTTCTATTTTATCTTCTATAGCTACATACCAATTGCATTTTGAAAAAAATTTCACAAAATACAACAACATGCTACATTGTTACCTTCTACCTCAAGCTATCTACACGTGCCACACATGGCTAACTTGTTGGCTAAGCTTTTAACCTATCAATCAACTATAAATATGTATAAAGTCAAATACAAATTTATAAAGCTTATAAGAAGCTATGCCTAAAGATAATATCAAATCTACCTACATTTACTTTTTACTTAACACTTCTTATCTAAGTAAATATTTATGTTTGTGATAGTATTATTGCTAAAATATCAACATCAAGGTTGAAAATAAAGCACAATTAACATCCAAGTAAATAAGGATTTTTTTTTCTCTCAATTAATATATTGAATTCTTATTTAAATTATTTTTTTATTTTTAATAATTAGATTAAAATTTATTAAAAAAATTAGTAAGATCAATAATTTAATTAATAATTATTGAAATATTAAGAATTTTTTAAGCTAGATTAAGATTGATTTGGTTTTGATTAGAGTTTTATAAGGATTTATGGGATATCTTTAGGATTATATTAAGGTTTTTTAGAATTTTTTTGGATTTTTATGAAAAATTATTAAATTTTGGTTAAAATTTATTTATATTTTTTTAGGATTTATTTAAAATTTTATTAGGATATTTTTAGGATTTACTTAGAATTTTTAAATATTTCTTTATATTTCTTTATATTTTTTTTTATCAATTTTTTAAAAAAAATTTCTATATAATTTTTAAAATATTTTTTAGGGTTTTTTATGATTATTAAAGATTTTTTTAAAAATTTATTCATTATTTTCATAAATTATTTTATGATTCTCAATGAGTTTTTTTATATTTCTTTATGAATTATTTCATAGTTTTTTTAGAAATTCTTTAAGTTTTTATAGGATTTGATTAAGGTTTGCTTATAATTTTTGAGATTTAATTTTTTAAAAAATGAAATTTTATTAGAATTTTTAAGTTATTTTTTTGGAAAATATAATTATCTTCTACAACCAACTTTCTAGTCCATTTCCATATTAGTTTTCACAAAGCACAACAACACAGCAACATATTATAGGACCTCCAATGTGTATTTAACTTGCAGGACATGTGTCTAACTTGTAAGACACATGTCTAATTTGCAAAGCAAGTTTTTTATATGTGCTCCACATAGTCAACTTGTACAATGAGTGGCCTGCATGTGTGACCTATAGCCAACTTATTGGCTATATTTTCAACCTACCAATCACCTATAGACACATATAAAGTTAAATCCAAATCTATGAAGCTTCTAAGATTAACAAACAATTCAAAAAAAGACTTATATAGATTTTTTGATTTGATTACTCAAAGATTATATGTTGAGTAATAATGTTTTATAAAGCATTAGTATGGTTTTGAAATTCATTTGTGCATATGCCATAAGATTGTAAAGAAAATAAAGAAATTAAATGACATTCTTCAAAATAATTAATTAAAAAATTAAGGATTTTTTTAAATTTAAATTTTATTTTGTACAATTTTATGGTTTCTACTTATTTTTTTATTTTATTTTATTTCAAAAAAAGAATAATTACGAAAATTATATTATAAGATAATGGTGAATATTACAAAAGTCATACTATGGCTTAAAAAACAAATGATTTGTTGAAATTACTTTTTTTTTCTTCACTTTTATCTTACTTTTAACACACCTGCTTTGTTGCTTCGTCGATCCTGGACTATCAAAGTAAACTGATAAGGGGAGGAGGATCGTCCAACTATCGACGTTCAGAAATGGGACAGACAGAAGGGAACGAACAGAAGCACGAACAGGAAGACGGACGGACGGACGGACGGACGGACGGACGAGACAAGTCTAGTTGGGGGGCCCGAGGGGAGCGTGAAGATCGTAAACAGCCAAGGATGAAGACCGACAACTGTAGGTGAAAGGACAGAACCCCTCCAACTGGACAAGCCTAGAGAAGAAGTGGACACCGGATCTGCTGAAGTGGCATTCCCACTGTTAACTTCACTGACTGCCTGTCCCGCGTGGATGATTCTACGGTTCTCCTTTAACGGGGCATGGGACGGTATCGACCGAACAGGACATTATGCAACTAACGGCGCTGAACGGTCCGAGAGGAGCTTCCTTGATGTTGCTCCTCTAATACTAACAGGGGGACGGACTCAAATGGCCTTCCTTTTGTTGCTCCAGTCTAGATATTTTGCACCTCGCAGGAGGCTTTGTTGTTGGTCATGGAGAAGATTCCATTCTACTGGGGCTTCGATTTGATTTAACAGCTTCATGTGCCAACTTGGCTGAGAACCTCTCAAGCAGGAGAAAAAACCGAATTGGCAGAGTGGAGACGAGGATCGAAATCACGGGCGATGCATGGGAACAGGAAGCTTTCGGTGGGGTCCAAAACAATGACGGGGTGAGTTTTGCCTACCACCACTCCCTTACGAAAGACACTTTAAAAGTAGACTTTAAAGTAAAAGGATCAAAGGATCAACAAGACCTCGAATGATGCGATCCGAGGCACAATCACGGCCCGTTGTTCGTCAGCCGAGCCACGCGGAGGCAGGATATATGCCACGTCACCACCAGCGTTCTGTGCAAGTTCGCGCGATGATGGACTAGAGGGGTGGTTGCGAGGAGGACCCCTGTTTCCGCTCGTCTCGCACATCGAGAACAGCCATGGACGGAAGCCCTGTTGGGAGAGTATCCCGAGACGATCCCATCCTCGAGCGCTCCTCGCCGATCCTTTTTCAGTAGTCCCTCTGTGGTGGTGGGACACGTTCTGAAGCCACTTGGTAGGACGTCCACTCTGTTCCACCTCTTGAAAAATCTCGCCGTCGCAGGTATAGTGTGGCCATTTCCATGCAGAAACCTTCTATCAACTTCATTCAAGGTTACTGACCGAGGGAGTTGAGGTGGTTTACGGTGCTGTGACGTAGATGTCTGTGTGGAGTCATTGATCACAGTGTACAGAAGTTCACGATCTAGAATTTGCATTCTCGGAGGCTGTATTGATTTCGAAGACAAGCGCATTTGGAGTTTGAGAAGTAGGAGAGGATGGCAGCCAGGACGGCAGCAGCAGCAGCAGCAGCACTGGCTGTTCCAAGTACCTCTGTGCGGCTGTCTAGCGGGAGAGCACCTCGCGATTCGTTTCGCTCTGGCGGCTGCGCACAAGTAGGCTCGAGATCGTCCTCGCTTAGAGGAGCCGGGGTCGTTTGCCCTTCCAATGTGACCAAGATAACTCAGCGGACAAGGAAAGTCGTCGTATCTCCCCGTAACGTATCTGACTCGCCAGTGGTCGGTGAAACTTGCCTTGATCCAGATGCCAGCCGGGTAAGACTAAGTCTCCTACATGACTTCTTTCGATTAGGATTTTTGCCGGTTTCTATTTACCTACTGAATGTATCCAGAGTCTATTGCTATTATTTTTGCTGAGGGAATTGTACTCTTGATTGTGTGGATGTTCTAAGTTCTGTCTCCTAGCAATTTGAGAACAGTGTTAGACTAGTGTATTATTAAATTTTAGTTTCTTGAGAATTGGAAAATTCAGTGCTCGAATTGCTGTATAGTTTGTGATGATGTCGATTCCGTGTGTTTAAACCGTGTCTATGCTTGGGTAACCTGATGATCATGCTTGATCGATAGTCGCTAAAAATGACCTCTGCACGCTTGCGATAATTTTTCTTCTAACTTCTGTAGTTTCTGATTTTCCTGGTGTTGAGAGTCTCGTTTTGTTTGTTATTTATCTTTCATTTCAGACTACTCGACAGAACCTGGATTCCATGTTTGTTTTGCATGATCTTGAGATTTGAGAATCTTGTGTCGAGATCCAATCAGAATGTTTTATTAATTAATGAGCTTTGGCAAACATTCTTCTATGTTGGTTTTGCAGAGTGTACTAGGAATCATTCTTGGTGGTGGAGCAGGAAGTCGACTTTATCCATTAACTAAGAAGCGTGCGAAGCCAGCCGTGCCACTGGGCGCCAACTACCGATTGATTGACATTCCAGTTAGTAACTGCATCAACAGCAACATAAACAAGATTTACGTGCTCACACAGTTCAATTCCGCATCTCTGAACAGACATTTGTCCCGAGCTTACGCAAGCAATATGGGGGGATACAAGAACGAAGGATTCGTGGAAGTTTTAGCTGCCCAACAAAGTCCTGAGAATCCCAATTGGTTTCAGGTGCAGATTATTTCTTAGCGTGTGAGTTGTTGATTTACACTCAAAGAAATTGGTGTTTGCGGTGCCTGGAACTTGCATTCGTAACGCGTAATAACTGGCCAGAACACGTTCTGTAATTGAAATTCAGTGATGATGTGATTATGCTCACAATGTTGTAAACTGTTGTGATTCAGGGAACTGCTGATGCAGTCAGGCAATACCTCTGGCTCTTTGAAGAAGCTCAGGTTCTGGAGTACGTGATTTTAGCCGGAGATCACCTGTACCGTATGGACTACCAACATTTTATCCAAATTCACCGTGAGACGAACGCTGACATAACTGTTGCTGCTTTGCCTATGGATGAAGCTCGTGCTACCGCTTTTGGATTGATGAAGATTAATGATCAGGGACGGATCATTGAATTTGCTGAAAAACCTAAGGGTGACGAGCTCAGAGCCATGCAGGTATGAAATGTTCTCCATGTTAAAGGATTAGTTGGTTGAAGATTGATTATTACCACTTGTAGAGGCAGATACTGCTGATTGTCGGTCTATTTCGGCTTTTTGATTTTTTCTAATCTACGTGCACGGCATTTATTGATTCAGGTGGACACGACAGTTTTGGGTTTGGATGCTGAAAGAGCCAAAGAAATGCCCTACATTGCAAGTATGGGTATTTACGTAGTGAGTAAAGAGGCTATGATCTCCTTACTTCGTAATGACTTCCCCGAAGCAAATGATTTTGGAAGCGAGGTTATTCCTGGAGCCACGAAGATGGGCATGAAGGTACGACTTTGCGTCCCAGCCTTTGTTCCTCTGCATGGATAATTCTGAGGACATCAAACTTAACTGATCAGTGCGTACATTATGGTACTGGCTTGTATCGCGCAGTAAGAAACTTCGAAGATAAATCTACTTAGCCATTGCGATCTCTGTGTATGTGATAAGACTATTTCATTGTGGATACTGTGTTTAGTCTTGTCACAGAGCCTTGTAGGGTGAGCTGTGAATTTCCATACAACCTCAGCCATTGGAGGTAATAAATAGTAGTTGTACGTAATGTTCCTGAGAAGATTTTTGTTCTGTTTATCAGGTTCAAGCTTATTTGTACGATGGCTACTGGGAAGATATTGGAACTATTGAAGCATTCTACAATGCCAATCTGGGCATCACTAAGAAACCTGTTCCTGATTTCAGGTGAGTTATCTTCCTTCTTATCTCTCATAAATTCTGCTCTAGGCTTTGTTCTAATAATGGTAGAAATGTGTGCGTTAACTTGGCTTGTTATCGACTGACTTTCTTGATTGACATACTGTTCCAGCAGTAAAGAAATAATTGAATCTGAGTATTGTGTTTGGAATGATATTTCTGCTTAACCACTTTTTTTCTTTTGTTTCCTGCAGTTTTTACGACAGGTCGTCTCCTATTTACACACAGGCTCGATTCCTTCCTCCATCAAAAATGTTGGACGCTGATGTGACTGACAGTGTTATTGGAGAAGGTTGCGTTATCAAGGTAGGTTCTGCAAGAACCCTTTGGTCTGAAGTTTTGGATCAAGGCAATGAATAATCTCACCTCAATGTACATTTATTCCTCTCTCTCTGCGCCATGCGAAGTATTCCTTGATACAATTTGTGCTTACTGATTGAAAATATATATCTATGATGTACAGAACGCAAGAATTTTCCACTCAGTGGTTGGTCTACGATCTTGGGTCTCGGAAGGTGCTGTCATTGAGGACGCTCTACTCATGGGAGCTGATTACTACGAGGTAACTATACAACGAGTCCTTAGATTTACCAGATTACTTTGTTTCTATCTTCGATTTTCTAATTTTTTCAGAGTAGACAAATCAGTATTTTGTGCAGTGAGTGTAAGGCTTGCCATTTAAGTACCTTGTCCAGAAATCCTGCTTTTCTAGACCATGAGATGCGTGTCTAATCTAAAGTTTGTAGATCTGCAGTTGCAGCTCCGGATAACATTAACAGGATGACAGATCTAACGTCTGTTTATCAATTCTTGATAATAGTTGATTCTATTTTTATGTGGCAGACCGACAAGCAAAGAAATGAGTTGTTAGCCACAGGTGGCATTCCCATGGGTATTGGCAAAAATTCAGTTGTGAAAAGAGCAATTATCGACAAGAATGCACGAATCGGAGAAAATGTGAAGGTAGGCTATGTTAGATGTTAGAAGTTACTGAATGGAATCAAGGCGTGTTGTCTTTCGTGCACACAAATTTGTTCATGTTGTTCAAATCCAACTCTATCGCTCACGTTTTTTTTGTTAAATGCATTGAATATAAAGCTCTAGTAGTGCCAAAATGTTCTGAAAATACGAAGTAGTACATCTGCCAGTAGAAAGAAGTGATCTAATGGCAGTGGAAATGATGTCTGCAGATTGTGAATAAGGACAGTGTGCAAGAAGCTGCTCGAGAAACAGATGGTTATTTCATTAAGAGTGGGATAGTGACAATTATTAAGGACGCGATTATTCCACATGGATCAATTATATGAGATTTGGCCCAGGGGCTGTGAGGTCATAGGTATTAGAGTGACAGCAGGGTATATATTAACAGCAAGATTGGATCCATTACAGCTGATTGCTAAACCAAGGGTTTGAATAATGGGATATTCGACTAAGCAGCTTTTGACATTGAATTGAAATTCTACGGTCAAGGTCTATCGGGTCCATAAAGGAAAATATCACACCTCCGGTGGTTGATCTCTTCTACTAGTTGACCACGCATCGTTAACCTTTCGACATCTGATGTTGCTGGTTTGTCATGGGACCTTGTCCCTGTCTTCCACTGCATCTTTCTTGTCCTTTATCCAGCCCTATCAGACCTCCCATTAATTTAGGAAAGTTCATAAATAGATAGACCACTTGGGTTTCCAGTTCCTGTAAACATGTGTTACATTACTGCAGGTAGTTGCATGCACAGTTTTGACGGAACTTTACAAAACATCAGTTGAAGAATGTAATATCAATTTCACATGCTCTGAGCTTATAAAGCTTGGTGTTTACCAATCTCTTCGCCTACTGTTTCCATGATGCATGTACGAATGAAGATGTGTCAACGAAGACGAAGTGGGTGTCGTCCAACTTCGTTTCCAATGTGGGTAGATGAAGATTAACATCTTTTTCTACTCCTTTGTCCACTAGTTGGAATCACTGATTTCTACCAGCTATGCTTCTAAATTCTTTGCATGTTCGGAAGTCAAGTTTAACCATAAAAAATACACAGACCGTATGAAATTCCTCAAAAGTTGATTCTTAACATAAATTTAATTACTCTCTTGATATTTCAAAAGAAAAGAATCTTTGTAGACCGCCTTATTCCACTCTCTATTGTACACTGTTCTAAATCCTCTACAAATCCCTCGTCTAACGATCGTTTCCTCCCATTTCAACTAACATCGTCTTCTAATACTTTTACTCTAAAGAAATCAACTGCAAAATATCTTTGTGATGAAAACAGAAAATAAGATATACCTCAAAAACGAACTTGTAAAATAGTGATCATCTAATTCAATGAGTATGAACAAATTTTATATAAAATATTATGGTGCATGAAAAAAATTTAGGACTTCAATCTTATATTTTATATTTACCATTTGTTACTATTATGCATTAGAAATTCATTTGTGTACTCTTAATAATATTGACTTTAATTTTTCCATATGCAAAATTGATTGAATGAGAAAACTATTAATAAAAATATTATAGTATTTTGCTAATATTATTGTGAAGAATTTGACATACCGAGTTTTAGTTCTTGTTAAGATAACAATAAGTTTTGAAGGCCCTTAGAATTAAAAATTCCTTAAGAATTTAATATTTTCCTCCATTTATAGTTTGTAATTCTATTATGTTTTGTTTTTTTGTTTTCTTTTCTTTTCATTAAAAATTGAGTTGTAAACAATTATTACTATGATAAAACGTTTAAATATGTATGTATATATATATATATATATATATATATTTACAAGACTATTTATTTTTTTATAATTGCTTTATTTTTTTAATTTTAAAATAACTATGTATTATAAAAACATATTTAAATTTAAAAACTTGAGATGATTATAGAAATTTTTGTTGTAAATAAATATTTCAAGTATCTTAACTTCCTTTATTCTAATCAATTTTAGGAGATATTTAGAATATTTAATCTATATTTAGCTTTCATGTCTTTTATTCTCTTAAAAATATAATATAGTTAGTTAGTATTTTTAGAAAAAAAATTGTGTTTTTTTTTGAAATAAAATTCTAAATAATTATTATTTTAATTTATATTTTAAAAAAATTACATATTATTTTTGATAATTTGGACTAATAAATTTGGATATTAGTGGGCTACATCGTTTAATGTTAGCAAGCTATTAGGTACATATTTTAGCCTTTCTCTCCATACTTATGATATTTTTTAATTTTTAATTAATAGAATAGTCTATTGGTATTTTGCAAAGATAAAAATAATTGGCAAGATTATCATAGTAAATAGCATTTTTTTATTATTATTATATTTCTTTTTAGCTATATAGGTTAATTTAGTTTAAAAAAATTATAAAATAAAATAATTGATAAGATTTTTTTTTAAATAGGAAAAAAAAGAAAAAAAAAAGAGAAAAAAGAGAAGAAAAAAAGAAAGGGCACCCACGGAGACGCGGGCGCAATCGAGCCTGGTTACCTTTATTTTAAATAGGGAAAAAAAAAAAAAAAGAAAAAAAAGGAAGAAAAAAAACAACAACAACAACAACAACAATAACAACAACAATAACAACAACCTTAGTTTTATCCAAGATAGTCTTATTGACATGTTACATGAATAAAGAAAAATGAGATTTTGAGATAATAGATTCTAAGTAGGCTATTAAAGCATTATTCTCTAAATGGATTTTAGATTTCTTCCAACTTGGTTGTGTCAATATTCAATATTTTTTCAAATTTTAAAAGATGCATGCTAATTCAATTGCAACATGATTGTAGCTTTTAAACTCTCTTTAGAATCTAATAACCAAATAAAAATGGAGCATTGGTTCTAAAACTTGGAACAAAAAGTCTCTTAATTGAATTTTCTAAATTATCAAAGTTGCTTTGAAAACATATTCCATAAAATAAATATTAAAAGGCATTTATTTTTTTATGGCATAAAAAATAAACTTACTTTTAATATAAAATACTATTCTTATAAATATAGGCAATGATTTATTCTACTACATTTAAGAGTCAATTTTTGTAGAAGTTCAATCTTTCTTATAATGCCATGGTGGAAAAATAGAGGATAATTTTAGACCAAAATTTTTCCATGAAATAAGACAATATATGATTTTAATCACACTCACAAAAAAAAAAGTACTATTTATATAGCTTATTCAGTACAAAGAAGTAATGGTTAATACATAAAGAAGGTAGGTTAGTTCTCACATTGATAACAATTGTGCTATTTAATCTCTACAAAGTCCATAAGTAATCTAATATGGATTTTAGAAGTATCATCAATTATCTAAATATCAAAAACATGAACCTCAAAGAACTTAAATGTCAATACATTCTTAAGTCACTTGAAACAACTAAAAAATCACTCAAAGATGATATAGTATTAAATTAGAATGGCTATTGCTAAAAACAAAAAGACTAGAAAGTCTTGAAACAAGATTAAAGACTTGAAAGGTGTTGAAAAGACTGAAGAAGGCTTTACTCTTGCCTCTATTTATATTCTTAACTAGGAGCTATGTGATGATGTCCTATAAAACCTCCAAAACGTGTTGACTTTGTAAAACATGTATCTTAACTTGCAAGGTAAGTTTTTTTTATGTACACCACATAGTTAGCTTATTCCATAAACTATTAACATGTGATTAACTTATTGACTAAGTTTCTAACCTATGAATTAACTACAAATATATATAAAATCAAAGCAATGTCTATGAAGCTTTTAAAAAATATTATAAAATAATTTTTTTTATTTCTAATTAATCATATAGATATATATTAAAATAAATATGTATGTTCATCACATTACATCTCCTTCTAAGAATGAGTTCCACAAAAAATGATCAACATAAGTTGAAAAAATTCAAAATGCAATGAATTGTGTTTACCACATACTCTGATCTTTGTTCTCTTTGAAGATGGTTGATAGATCTTCTCAACTATCAATAGTGTTCCATACAAGGACAAGATGACTATCTTGTTATTTGATTATTATTGAGGCCTTTGTAATTCTCTTCAAATAAAACATTTAAAACATTGTTAAGAATTGTTTCTACCTTTAATAAAATCACCAAACATTTGGAGTCTCTTCTAAAGTTGTAATACCAAACATATTGTATCTTGCCATCTATTCAAAGAAGGATATGTCACTTTTGAGGATCTTCATTTCGATTACATCATCTTGAAGATTATGACAATCACAATATCTTATTTGATAAGTCAAGAAGAGTTAGCTCTTGAGTTGAATCTATTGATTGTTGATTCTCCATCTTCTTAGCATCACAAATATACAAAAGTTACAAATAAGAATAAAAGGTAGAATGCTATCTTCTTTAGAACTTGTTTCTTTTATAGCAAAGATTTATTATTCTTTATCTTGATTTTGATGGATGTTGTCAATAAAAAGCTTCAACCATCTTTATTGCATTTGCAAGATTCTTTCTTAACTTCTATATATATTCATTAATATCATATTTGTACCAATGAATACGATATTCTAATCTATTTTAATGTTGCCTTAAATCTAAGACGTCTTCTATCTAAATTTTTTGATTAATATTCACTTTTATATAATGATGTGGTATTTATCTTCTTTTTGAGATATTCATTGTCTTATATGGCTTAAAAAGAGATATATAGAATATAAGATGGATCTTCATAGACTCCAATAGATATAATCAATAAATAATAGGATTGACTTATTTACAAATAGAAAAAAGTTCAAACTTACAATAGTCTAACTTGTCACAAAGATAAGTAGTCTTGATATTGTGACAAAGTAGCCATACCTTGTCACTTACCATGAATTATAGTTGTTCCTTGTAATAGACATCTATATTGATCTTTGTCATTCTTGAACTTTCTTTAAATTCACCTTCATTATTACATGTAGTATTGATAAATAATTTACCAATTTTTTTATCAAAGGATTATTAAATTTTAAAAATTTAAAAATATCAAGTTATAGATAATAACCATAATTAGTAAAGAAAGATATTTTTTGAATAAAAGAATATATCAAAGTATTATATGCAAACTGTGCCAATAGTAAAAAGTTCTCCAATTGTCTTGATGATAATTGATGGTATACCTCAAATACTATTCCAAAACTTCATTTACTCATTTTGTTTGCCCATCACTTTGATGATAAAAAGATGAAGAGAGCTTTATATCTACTTTTAGAATCTTAAAAAAGATTTTTTAAAATCTCAATACAAATTGAATCCTCTTATTCAATATAATATCTTTGAGCAATCCATAATAGTGATAGATGATGTCAAAAAAAAAGCTTAGCCATTTTTTCAACTTTGATAAATTTTATACATAGTAAAAAATGTACCATCTTAGTAAAAATGATTTATTGTCATAAATATAAAATTATAAAGATGTAAGATTGAAAGATCTATGTTAAAATCTATAGAAACAAAAGCCCATGGTTTTTTTGAAATAATTAATGGCTAGAGAAGTCCATAAGATTGATGATGAGGAATTTTCGATCTTGAAAAAATATCATATAATTGTACAAAGTTTTTAATTGCTTTCTACATTTGAGGCCACCAAAAATCTCTTAATATTAATTCTAAAGTCTTATTATATCACAAATATTCAATTGTTGGAAAGTCATGTTGAGCTTAAAAGACATGTAATTATGTATTGCCTTTTGAAATATATAATCATCCTTCAAAGTAAAGTAGATTATTCTTGAATTTAAACTTAGAAGTATCATGAGACTTAAAAGAATTATTCTTGATATTATGAATAAGAAAATTAGAAGACATACTTGATTGAATTTTCTTGAGAAAGATTGAATCAAC